AGTACCTGTCGGCTGGAGGGGGACAAATTTTGTGCAACTCTTCCCTTCCTCTGTATGTGCTACGTGCAAGACCGATTAAAATTTATCATCCCAAACCGTACTGTATCTTTGGAATACGAGTATTACAGTTGGTGCTGCTGCGCAACACATCGACGGCGAATAGTCAGCCCTTTTAACTATATGCTTAATGAATGGATTCGGGAAACTATGATCAAGCTGAATGGAATTGGCGTGCGCGCGCTAGAATGTTTCAAAGAAAGGGAAAATGCGCGATATTTTAGTTCAGTTCATTTGTTTTCTGTAAAGCAGCATGCAAGGAGAACTCACGAAAGCCAATTTTTTCCGACAAATCGAGCGGCGGCAAAGTGAACGCAAGCGTGGTAAGCATGGCAATAAGCAGTGATGGTATAATCACGTTGAAGCCATAATAAAATGTTCGACGGCGTACATTTAGGAAGAATTTCACGGAATAGTATGGCTCCGAGCAGCACTTGTAATAGGTCTCTTCGCGTTTAACCGATGTACCTGGATCAAACCATTTTCGATTAACACACAGCATATGAAAAACACTATATTCTGAGAAACAGAAGTAAAATTCTGGTCACGCCGGAGACGATATACCGAGAAACGGCATGAGGAGTTACCAAGCTGCTCGTTCAGAAAAGAGGGACGTGCCGCAACAAATGTATAGGTTTGTAGTAGCCGTAAAATTTTAATTACAAATGGGAAAACAATGTTTTCCCTTTCAACTGTGCTTCCGATTTTGATGTAACTAACCACGGACCGTCCATTCGCCACTTGGGATGTAGTCCGACAAATCCATTGATGGCTCTGAAATTTTACAGAATGAAAATAGGATTTGGAATGTTTGAAATTATCATCCTGAAGGACACTATTTTTTTGAAAAATCATCAAATCTTGCCTTCGCCCGGCTTCGTGTCAATTTTGAGATCCAGCGCTAAGCCATTGTATGTCCAGGAGCCGAACTGAAATATCCAACACTAGACAGCAAAGAAAAAGCTTCGAAAAGTTTGTTTTATTAACAAATTTGGACTTTTGTTAAACTTCGGCATAACTTAAGTAGCTCGAGAATTTTCCTAAAAAAATAGCTTTTAAGTTCGGATGCGACACGAGGTCACCTTAAGAGAACAGGAAAGGTCGTCGAACGGGAACCAGGTGACGTCGATCTTGCAGGACGTGCGGAAAATGCCAGGCGGAATCCATGTTACATCACCGTTGCTGTACACTAACATTTGACTTTTATAAGTCGAGTCGAAATTTTCAGCACCACTGAAATAACTCTTTCTAACAGAAGCATAACATTTGCAGATCTGGCAGGTATTAGAGGTGAATATCTCTAATCAATCAATCGCTCTTGATTACTGCTCATTGCATATAATACCTCGAACATAAAGGAAATAGGAACGACCTCTCACTTATTTTTTTTCCTTCTTGCAGCCATTAGAGAACGGAGGCGACAAAATGGAAAGACAATTTGGAAGAAAAGAGTCAAAATCAACCATAAATCACTGGAAAGCTGAAAAATGAGAAGCTACAAAATTCTGGCTAGGATTCGTTGAATCGTATCGATTGCCGTAGATGATAGGCAGAAATTTTGGTACTGGGCTGGATAGGACAGAAACTGGCAGAAGCCAGAAGATTATCTTTTTTTCATAGTGGGAGGCACTGGACAGTGAGTGAAGTCGTTTCTTCCCCGACCTGGATGTGCATGTAACTAAGCCAGTTCTGCAGCAACATGAATATTCCAT